CAGCAACCAAAACCGGCGCACGAATATGCATGGTTAATGGTTGTTCAAACTGAAACTGAATTCAACGTTCAAAAGAATAATGATGAGAAAATACAGTAACAATGAAGAATTACTGTGGTCCTGAGTGCATGTGTTGGTGAAAAATTGCAGAAAAATGGGGATGCGCTAAAGACTGTAAGAATAAACCCTATAGTAAAGACGACCAGTAGTCAGAACCCTAAGACTTCAAGGGACAGATAATATAATAATCAGTTAAAAAGGCTTGAAGCAGGACTACTATACTACATTATAGACATCTGCACTCTAACCACTGGATGAGACAATTCTAGCTTCAATCCAATTGTTGGGAAGCAGTGTAATAATCAAATCTGGTTCGCCTACCTGAGGTGTGGCGGCCGGTCCGCAAGCGGGAGTGAAATCTGCGTTCTGTTGGGCAGGAGAAGCCACTGCTTGCATGAAACTGACGAAAACGACAGACAATATTTGACTGCCGATAATCATCAGTCCTGAAGTGATAGCTTCCGGCACTGGGAATGTGGCTTCCGCGGCCAACTCTAAGGCTAGACTGTACTGAGCAAAGCCCCATGCGCCGAGCCAGCAGACGCAAAACACAATACTGATCATTTGGTGCGGGTACCATAGGGTAAGGCCAAAGCCAACAGCACCCAAAATTCCAAGTGAATAACATACCTGTAATGCACACAGAAAGGTAGTATTCACGTAAAACGATTCACAAGGTAACGGTAGAGGGAGAATAGCAATAAACACTGTCTTGTGGTTCAAGAAATAGTAATACAATACGCGGAAATTGGAGTAAAATAACCCTAGCCAATAACATAGCATAAACTTTGAAAGTCCATTAAACTATTGAGTACGAGGGGACTGTGATATTCGTTGAGCAGTGAACCATGTCATCTAGACCAATTTAGGCCCAGCAGACGGGTGAGAATGTGCTGCGTGGGATATTATGCAAAGGTTAAAACAGACTGTTATTTATGTCGCCAAGCATGACCGACTAGGCGCAAAACCATTGGGTTTGCCTAGGCATATTACACGGGATCGGCATGACAATGTGCTACGACATAAATCACAAAGCGTGAAGAACTATACAAACAACCACAGTAAGAACTAACTAACCTGTACCGCCTCGAGAATTAACCCGGTTCTGTCGGCAAACAGTGCACTGAAAAATGATGCAATTAGTCCGGCAGCAATCATCAGTGAACCGCAAAGACCAGCAAATTGATTAGAGTAACCTTTCGTACAAAGAATCTGTTGGAATAACGTGGATAGTGTGGTGAAATAAGCCAGACCACAACCAAAAGCGAGCATAAGTAACAGAAATCCCGCAGATCGCAAGGGTTCAATGCATTGACCAATGAACTTCCGAAATCTCTGTGCAATGATTATGAAATTGTTCAGAAGGGGTTGCTGTTTGTGCATGTGATCCAAAACCGCAGCAGCAACCGACGGTGGCGTCAACGGTTTGCCTCTCCTTACGATCATGAAGGAAAGGAGGAAGCCAAAACCGACCACGCCAAGTGAGATGTAGTTAAACGTCGGTATGTCGTCCGGCTTTTGAACAAATAATGGAGCAATGGCACTTCCAATCAGCACACCCACCGTGTTACCCAAAGACCCAATTGTGTTGGCCATCGTGCGCTGAGTGTCCGGGAACCAATCCAATGCTAGCTTAGCCGGGGTGAACATGCACAAAGGTTGAGCCAATGAGGCTACCAGTTGTCCAATGACAATTAAAGCTAATCGACCACTGATAGAAGGCCAAGTGGTGATCATACTGCTCATCACTCGTAACAGGCCACATATTAAATTTACACTGACTGATGTCAAAATCACGAACCGAACACCAAACCAATCGACCAGTAAGGTGGCTGGGAGACCAAAAACCACTGTGGTGATGGGAAAAATTAGTTGCGTCCAATTCAGGAGAGTCGCATCAGTTGAATAGAATGCCACAAAATGATCGGCAACGGGGGCAAACGAAATCCACAGATAAGCATTCGATCCGTTCACCAAAGCCAGGATAAACACAATGGCCCAACGTATCGGATATACATGATGGTGGTCTGGTGCTTTTAACTCCACTTGAGAAAGGGAAAGAGGCATTGGCAAAATGTCCGTCACAAAAGTGAAAGGCACTACTCACAGATCTGGTTGCATCTGGAAAAAAGCATAAGAAAACATTTTAAAAAAAACCAGGAAAAATGTGTCTATGGCGCCGACTGATAATTTATGTGATTGGGCTAGCACCAAGTTTATGAAAGGCAAATAGATGACAGCAAAAACCTATGCTCACTTTTAATGTACAAGATAGTGGTGGGCAGCTTCGCTATCATTCGACTCAGAACTAGGCCTATCCTATCGCGGTCACGTGTAAGAAAAAACACCGGAAGCCCAAGGGATTAGGCTACCGGTTATCATGAGTGACTTATATTCTTTGGTGTGGGGGCTTTGGTTGCTGTATTTTGATGCTCAAATTTCACGTCCAAGTTTTATTATGGGCGATTTAAAAAAGCTTATAGGATTCTTACAGAATGTTTGAACAACTTTACAAATAAAACATAATAATACACATGATCATTCATGGACGTTGAAATGCTAAGTGATTCAATGCTTTATCAAGCTGCGATTTGAATAATTCAACTATAGGGGCACATACAAAATCAAATGGAAGATAATTCCATTCACCGCACACTCTAACTGCAAACGAGTGATGCCGGCAATTTAGGTGACTATCGAGGGAAGAATGCTGATCGCAATGACAAGATGAAGACAGAGAATTCAGGTGGAGTACGCATGCGAAAACCAGTAGATTCACGAGCGCCACTGTTTTTCTATTACACACCACTGTGTGATGAGCAGCAGCCGGAGTGGACCCCATAGTCACGAAGATCTGTTGTTCATTGATTTTAAACGGCATCCTAAGCCCCGGGACTTGGAGTGGCGAACTAAATAAGGCCCCCGATAGGTCAGGCGTGGTATTGA